TTGTTTAGCTTGCTTCTTTGTTTGGGTCTTTAGTTATTTAAATTTTTCAGACAACAGATTGATATGATATTTGGTATACACTCTTAATCTTGATGGCCACACACGTTAAAACCATTTAACTTAAAAAAGTAACTTTGTAGTAAATTTATTCAGTTGTGGTAACAGTAAGCTGAATTATACCGAAGTAGTTATTAAACACTGTGCCATGACAGTTTTAATCGATGAATAACGTTAAGTTGAATAAAAAAAGAATTATTGATGAGGAACTCGACTAGTTTCAAGCCATGCTAGGTAAGCAAACAGAAAAGTGAAAACATTAATTTACTATATCTCACGAAAGTAACCTATGACATAAAAAAACTTATTAAGAAATATAGAGGTATTATAATCGCTGCTTTGCCCGCGTATTCCTGTTTTATCTTATGGAGGCATTTAATCAGGATAAAAGTATCCTATCACCTTAGTCAGTCCATACCCTGCAGTTGAGTAGTTACAGCGTGATTGACGGACAAACATGCAAACATTTATAATATTAGTGTGATTACGAAATAAAATCCAATACTTTCCTTAGGTACCTATAAAAAGATCTCAAAACTAACCCATCTCACAATAACACTGCACTAAACAGAAGTCGAACGTAAAGAGTATCGTTTAATAAAATATTAAAAGCAACTGAAACGCCTAGATCTAGCTACTAAATATTTCAAAGACTAAGTCACTAGAAATCTGTGTGGGTCTGCGAACGGTGAGCAAGTAGCTGCTCCCGCCTGGGTGAGACGGGAGGGAGTGTCAGACTCTTACTGACTAAAAACCACCCCGTTCCTTCTCCTGCACTTCGAGCCGGAGCCCCGGTTACCCGTTAGGTTCTCCGCGACTAGAACAATAGTATAGAATGGTTAAACATTATGGAACTAAGATTTAAGTATGTTTCTGGTGTATCTGTAACTGTTAGAATTAATATATCATGAAAAATATTACGCGACAGTGTTGCGTTAGGTCCAATTATCTGATGACGTCACGTTACGTCTCAGTAAGGGTTTGTACGCATCGCAAAATGTGCGAGCTCCCTCTACGCATTGCAAGAATTTGCGAATGGATTCGCATCGCGCATCAAATTCTTATCTTTTCAAAATCTTCTTTGATTCTTTTTCCTGTATCCCTTAAGCAATAACAGAAGTGCACACTTCTTTTTACAATCCAAGTCACGACTTAGTTTTCAATTTAAAATACGTTTAGTACGGTTGACGGTCGTCGAATGAATAGTCAGTCAGAGACGCCTTGTCGCACGAAATCGCATCGCGTCTTCTGCGTTGTGAATTCGCATCGCATCGCATCGCAGTTTTGTGTACGAGCCCTAAGTACATTTCACACTTACTTGTGTAGCAAAACAAGCAAAACAAAAAACGCGCAAGAATATTTCAGTAGTCCTACAGATTTGCTTGACGGTCGAAGTATCAAATGAATATTTCATTATGTCTATATAAAATAAAAACTATGTATCAGGTGTTAAATAAAATATGAAGCGAACCACACTCGCATTGCGGTTCATATTCAACCGTATCATATTCAACAATTCTGACTTTAATTAACTCGACCGCAATTAGACTGGGGATAGTGCAAATTAAGCTATTTTATCATACAAATGTTATTTTGAGTGAAAATTTAACGAAATTGTGAGCCTTAACTCGCAACAAGTATCAACCTTTATGTTTGTTTTTGCATTTTGTGTTCATATAAAAAATAGAGGGATAAATCAAAAATAGGACTCGGTATACAATAGTCCAGTCCATTAATCAAACAATAAAAAACAATGTATATAAATAAAAAAAGAAAACTAAAGTAAAATCTGAACTTGAATCCCCAACGGTCCTCAAACTCCTAATACCCAAAAAGCCGGTAACGCACTTGTAACGCCTCTGGTGTTCCAGGTGTCCATGAGCGACGCCGATTGTCATGTGATCCGTCAGCTCGTTTACCGGCTTATGGCATAAAAAATTAAAGTGTCAAAAGTAAACAAGAAAAAACAGTAACAATACAAAATAGTACATAAAATTAAACACACACAATACACATTAAACAAACACAATACATTTAAATGCAACTACCTAGAAAATTGAAGCTATAGTACTGTACATCCAAAAACCCTAACACGAGACATCCTAACACTACAGGACTTGTAACCAACCAACTAATGAAGTAACGATTACGTAAAGATCCAATAATGATCCTACACGGAGAGTAAATCTGACCCAAGACAAGCGCGAACTACTTATAATGAAACCAATAATGAGGATAGGGAAAATCAACTGTGAGACGCCATAATGAAAAAAGTTATGAACAAACTACTAGACGATCTCCCAAGTTCTTCATTTTCATTAAGTGAGTTTATTTATCTTTCCTGAAGATGTAATTATTATGGTATTATTATTTTGCCATTAGTTTCTAGGGCTGACTGCCTCGTTGGCTGAGTGGTCGCAAGTGCGACTGCCGGGCAAAGGGTCTTGGGTTCGATTCCCGGGTCGGGCAAAGTATTACTGGGTTTTAAAAAAAATCTTAGTAGTACATCGGAGTCTGGAATTGTGCCCGGTATATGGCAATAGGCTCACCCCCTATTACATGGGACTCATAACATAAATAGTGAAAAGTGGGTGTTACATTGTACAGTGGCATAATGTGCACCTCTGCCTACCCCTTCGGGGATAAAAGGCGTGATGTTATGTTATGTTATGTTATGTGTTTCTAGGGCTTTTTCTTGAAATTCAGTTTGTGTCTAACTTTCTAGATTGCTCCCTTTATTCTTACTGTAATAGGTTTTGGTATTAAGACCTTTATTTATTTACTGGCTACTTCTGCGCGGTTTCACACGCTCCGCTTAGCTCCTATTGGTCGTAACGTGATGTTTTATAGCCTATAGCCATCCTCGATAAATGCGCTATCCAACACAAATAGAATTATTCAAATCAGACTTGTAGTTACGGAGATTAGCGCGTTCAAACAAAAAACAAACTCTTCCGCTTTATATAATAGTATAAAAGTATAAAGTATAAAATTTGTATCCAGTATTGTGAATACAAGTACTTATAACCAGACGAAATCGTAAACAAAAATAGAAGCTGGAAGTATATTTAGATTGGTGGTTGCGCATGAAGTGGTTTCGAAACGTGAAGGCACGGGATGTGTCATATGCTCCAGACTGAACCCACGCTACGAGGTTCGATAGCTTATGATAGGATAACAATATTTTCCTACAACAAAATCCAAAGACTGGTGACGTAGACCACAACTGAATGGGCTCATTGTGAATAATCACAGATCGCCAAGTTGTAGATAACATAAAAATATAGACTTATTTAGAAAAATAGCTAGACTAATTTCCATCCTAAGACACAAGTTGACCGACTGCACGGTTGGTACGGTGGCTGGGCAACCGGCTGCTGTGCAACGTGTCACGGGTTCAATTCTCGCACGGAACAACACTTTGTGTGATCCACAAATTGTTGTTCCGGGTCTGGGTGTCATGTGTATGTGAACTTGTATGTTTGTAAATGCACCCGCGACACAGGAGAAAATCCTAGTGTGGGGAAATGTTTTTTTTTTTATAAAATTTTGAATACAAACGCCTTTCTATCTTACCTTTTATCCGAAAAAAAAGTCCCGTAGGTAAATCTATGTCGTCATCTTTTGCACCAGTTACGTTCCACGAGTCCATTGTAATAGAGGTGAGTCTATTACTATACTTACACTGTACAAGACTTCGTACTAATACTGAAAAAAAAACGATAACACCCAATGATATCTGACTCAAGCTATCACATTATATTTTATCTCATAATGTGATTAATTTTGTCTGAATCAACATTTTATTTATAACGAAACGGAAATCTTTTTTTTTCATTTTTGAGGGGGGAAAATCATCCAATGACTTCTCCCGCCTGGGTGAGGCGGGAGGGAGTGTCAGACTCTTACTGACTAAAAACCACCCCGTTCCTACTCTTGCACTTCGAGCCGGAGCCCCGGCAACCCGTTAAGTCTTCCGCGGCTCCGTATCGGCATCAGCATTGTTGGGCCCCATCTATGGTGGTCTGATGGCCCCTTGAGGCGCGCGCGGAACGCAACGTGCCGTACGCTCAACGAAACAGGAATATGGTACTCTAATTTCAATAGCAAAAACCTTCACATATTAATTTAGCACAGATCCATACGTCAGTTGATAGTAAATCCACTCACGTATATATTTGTCGTCGCTGTTATCATTAAGTGGAGCTGTGACTGTGTGAGCTATGCTCGTCACGTCGCCCTCGTCGCGAAATAAAGGATTACACATTGTGGCTGTAGCGACGAGCTTTCAGTTCTATAGCCGTGATATTTGGTGGTCGATGCTAATATGCGATAACTGCTTTTCGGCTCTACGAGGTTTTGTGGTTTGATTGTTGCCGGTGTTCAAAGGTTCGGGGCATGCGCTATTTTTAATGGACGGTTTTTGGGAAAGCAGTTCATTAATTAATTAGTGAGACTTTTATCATTACCTCTATAGGAAACCTATACAGAATTTACGTTAGTTTAAAATTAAGCTATCTATTGTTAATCACAGATGTAATACTTATTGAGATCAGTAACAATTGTTCTAACTGATGCTCTTTCTATGTGACAATTAATCACCATCATAAGGACGTTGACCTGCTCTTTGGCCGATTGGTCGTAAGTGCGACTGCGGGGCAAGGGGTCTCGGGTTCGATTCCCGGGTCGTGCAAAGTATTACTGGGTTTTTAAATATTCTCAGTAGTAGCACGGAGTCTGGAATTGTGCCCGATATATATGGCAATAGGCTCACCCCTTATTAAATGGGACTCATAACATAAATATGAAATGTGGGTGTTACATTGTACAGTGGTATAATGTGCACCTCTGCCCTTCGGGGATAAAAGGCGTGATGTTATGTTATGTTATCTTATGTCATAAGAACTTCTAAAAGACTTAATCACCAATCCCTTTCTTCCCAGGTGGTGGCAGAGTTCGAGGATGTGGAACCAGACGCCCTGTACGATGTACTCCACGACCCTGAGTACAGGTCGGTGTGGGACACCCACATGCTGGCCGCGGAGGACGCTGGACATATCAATGTCAACAACGACGTGGGATATTATGCCAGTGAGTAGAACTTTTTTATTGTTATCTAATGAATTGGTGACGGACATTTACTCCTATTTTATGACACGAAATACGCATTTAGGAACAACTAAATCAATGTAATTAATGTAATCCCCAAAGGGGTAGGCAGAGGTGCACATTATTATGGCACTTAATACAACTGTACAATGTAACACCCACTTTTCACTATTTTATGTTATGTGTCCCATGTAATACAGGGTGAGCCTATTGCTATATACCGGGCACAATTTCAGACTCCGTGTTACCACTTGTACGTGCTACCACAATGTAATTGAGTTTGAAAATATAAAGGTACACTTCTATGGACCCAGATATGTCCAAAATTATAAGTGTGGGAGAGCATCGACACGAATGGGCCGGCTCGACCGGAATAATACCACGGCCTCACAGAAAACCGACGTGAAGCAACGCTTCCGTTGTGTTTCGTCGTGTGAGTGAGGTTACTGGAGGTCCAATTACCCTCCCCCTCCCCATTCTCCCCAATCCCTGAATCCCCAACGATCCTCAAACTCCTAATCCCCAAAAGTCCGGTAACGCACTTTTAACACCTCTGGTGTTCCAGGTGTCCATGGTCGACGTCGTTTGCTTACCATCAGGTGATCCGGCTGCTCGTTAACCGGCTTATGCAATAAAAAAAACACTCTAACTGAGGGATAAATAGCAGCTTTCCTAAATAAATTGGTGACGTAATTGCGCTTCCCACGCGTTCAGCAGTGGTCTTCGGGCTTATGATGATGAGGACATTCCCATGTAGTTTACATTTTGCAGTCAAAGTAAAATACTTCGATTTTTATAGAAAACAAAACCACCTAACATTATCTCAAAAGAAACACAATTAAAATTGTTACAACGTTGTTACAATACATAGTTTCATTTGTATTACTTTGTTAGCCCTTTGTGGGGCACGAGCGACATTGTGTTGTCTAAAAGAGGAATAGTTGGTCATGTCACGTGTCAGTTTAGAAGGATACGGGTCCCGACTAGTCTCGACTGCACGTTTGCATAGTTACCATAGCGAAATAAATTGTATTTCCACATGTAATTTGCTTTGTGAAGATGTTATGTTGGTTGAAATAGGGTATTAAACGAACTTTTTTCGTGTTGTTGGCTTTGTCGGTAAAGGTGTGTCAATTTTCCCCAAAATGGTAACATATAATTCTTCATAGTCTTCAGATAAGTGACTTATCTAAGGTTTACATTAATTTCGGTTAATAGAACGAATTTTAAACTCAAAATAGTCAATAACTAAAGAACCTAAGCATCAAACTTGCGACCCTGCGGACGGCGAGCATGGGTGGCTCCCCGTCCGACCAGAAATAGACCCAGCGCGCCTCAAAAAGCCATCAGACCACCACAGATGGGGCCCAATAGGGCCGATGCCGATTCGGAGTCGCGGAGAACCTAACGGGTAATCGGGGCTCCTCCTCCTCCCTCCCGCCTCACCCAGGCCGGAGCAGTCATTCGATGATTTTCCCCCCTTATAAAAAAGCATCAAACTTCATTGATCCGCAAGCGAAACATTAACACTTGGTTTGAAGATCCAAAATGAAAAGAAAATAGTTCCAACAAAAAGATACAGATTAAATAACACTTTAGCGCCTTCGCGTGGAATACAACAAATTAGTCCTATCCACAGATAATGAGTTTCTTCTCCCTGGAAGAGGTTCTCATTAAGAACGAGTATCATTACAGTTTTCTATTTCCTAGCGTTTACCGTTTGAAGGAGCTATCTGAATGAACTTTTAGCGCTTCTTGTTTTTATTATCTCTTTGCTTTTTTGCTGTTGTCGGGGTAATTTGCGTTAGTTTTGTCAGTGTGTGTTTTGAATTTGTAAAATTGTTCTGTAACCTTACTTTAGCAGTTGTAAACATGGCTCATGAGTTAGAGTATATTTTATGGTCGATTTTTTTTGTGGACACGAGGTTTAAAGTACACGAGGGTAAATACCTACCCAATTCTTAGAAGCTAGTAATAAGGGTTAGTCATAGTCCTTATAGGCAATTCTCTTAGTGCGAGATAGTGACCAAACGTCGTCCCATCAAATAAATATGCTTAGGTTATAGTGTACCTATGTGTTAAGAAAAAAAAATGCATTTCACCTACCTACATGTTATGATATAATTGAAATTGTTTGTATAATGAGCGTCTCTCGCCATCAAACGTCAAAGTTTGGCGAGTTTAGATTTAAGGCCATATCTATGTAAAATTAAAATAAATAAATTTGTTAAAAAAATATAAAAAAATTGAAAATATACAAACCAGTTGAACTTATATATAAAGTTGTTGATTTTGGAGTAAAAATGGCGAGTTCGAATCATAAGAAAATTCCTCTTGACGGCAGCCACAACCGTACAAAACTAGGTTTATTTAGTTCTGCCTAGTAACCTAGTACTAGTTATAACTAAGGGAAAAATAACGAAGATAAATGCTTGCTACATGGGCAGACACTCTTGATACAATTATTTATAAATTGCCACTTAATAAAGTGCTCCCTCCCGCTGAGCTGGACTAGATAACCAGCTTGATTGATTTGAAATAAAACCCCACTAGGGGTTGGTGTTGGGTGTTGAAAGAACTTTAGTATATAGGACTTTTAATGAAGTATAGGTAATTTATTATGGACTACATTTTAATTGTAGTCATAGACTTAAATGTGCTGTGTACACTTTCCAATGTTGTTAGTTCAATATCAAATCAATAGTTAAGTGTGGGAGAGCTATGCTTCGACACGAATGGACCGGCTCGACCGGAGTGATACCACGGCCTCACAGAAGACCGACGTAAAACAACATTTGCGTTGTGTTTCGTCGCGTGAGTGAGGTTACCGGAGGCCCAATTAACCCTTTCCCCTTTTCCCAATCCCTGAATCCCCAACAATCCTCAAATTCCTAATCTCAAAAGACCAGTAACACACTTGTAAAGCCTCTGGTGTTTCAGGTGTCGGGCGACGCCGATTTCTTACCATCAGGTGATACGTCAGCGCGTTTACCGGCTTAACTGATAAAAAATCAAATAGATACACAACGTTTTAGTATTTACAAAGTTGGACTTAACTTGTTGTCAGGCATTGACTTTTTTGGATTTGTCTAAAGATTATGGTGTGACGCAAGATTAAAAGTCTCCAAATAGTAATTAAACTACCGTAAGATATCATGACAAAAACAAGCTTTTTGTTTACAGACATAATGCGATCGTCCAGTGCAGATGATAATTACTCCTTATAATACCATTACATAACATTACACAACATCTCGCCTTTTATCCGCGAAGGGGTAGGCAGAGGTCCACACAGAAATAACACCCACTTTTCATAAATTATGTTATGAGTCCCATGTAATAGGGGGTGAGCCTATTGTCATATACCGGGCACAATTCCAGCTCCGTGCTACTACTGAGATTTTTTTTAATAACCCAGTTATACTTTGCCCGACCCGGGAATCGAACCCGACACCTCTTGCCCGGTAGTCGCACTTGCTACCACTCGGCTAACGAAGTAGTCCTTATATTACCAGTACAACATAAAAATTAAAATGAAAATACTTTATCAGGGTTAAATATCTTACACCAGGCATCATCATAAACCAAGTTCCTCACACGAGTGCTCATATATCAGGAGGTTATGAGGAGAATTAAGTTCTATACGAAACGACGTCATTATACCTGAGGTAATGGCTGCCCTTTATTGATAACGTTCAGGAGTTTTTATATGGCTCTAGTTGATAGAGGATAACTAAACTTTATGGTAGGTAAACTGTTTTTATAGACGTTTATGGTGAATAGACTGGGTTTTAGGTTTACAGTCTGTGATGAAAAGGTGGTAATAAATTAGTTTTAGGTATTTTTTATTACATGTTACTGATTCGTCAGTGGTTTTTTTTTGTATATTTGGTAGGCTTACGTTTGGCCACTATTTTGCCTAATAGTAAGCGATGATGCAGTCTATGATGGAACACATCTGTGCATAAGCAACCTATTACATTCAACTATTGTGTATTTAATGGTCTCAGTAGATATAGCCTCAATTGTGGATTATACTTACTCATTCGTTAAATAGATAAGAATAAAGATTTATTGTTTTTTTATTTGGAGAACAGCAAACATAAGTAGGAAATAATATAAAATGTCTAACAACGATGTTTTAGGAAAGAAACGAATTATTTTAAATTTTAATAAAAGGAAACAAAATTTTAAATCCTTTATTCCCATTTTGACAACAGATTGTTGGACGGTACTAATAAATGGTGTACTTAAAATGAATAATTTGCTATAATTTCCAAGCTTATTCAAAGTATTGTTTATCTCCAGAAGTAATTAAAGGGGGACTGGACGGTTTTATACTTTTTATATTTACGTTCAAGTAATTCAATGAAATTGTATTTTTAGTAACATACTCATGTACAGTTAAACGAATTCTCGCTTGGATCTTTAGTATGAAACTAATACAGTTAAAACTCTTGAGTAGAGATATGGTAAAGAAATCGTGTCATGAATTATGTAAACCTGAATTTATTAAGTATCTAAGGAAATACTTCAATATTAATTAAACAAAAGCAAACTTTTACTATTTTTTTACTATTTTTAAAGTATTTTTTTACTAAAGGGCAACTAACTCAGTTTCTTTCTCGTGTCTATTGCTGAATAAATGTTTTTTCTTTCTTTCTTCTTCTCTACCTAACTAAATAAATTTTACCACATGTTGAACAGCCGATGAAAGGGTTCACAATAAGAACAATAATTTTATTAAGTTTTTCGGTTTACTCACGTAATTATTTGACGTGACACTCGACTAGTTTCAAGCCATGCTAGAGGTTCATATTCAGAGCAGTATTTCGTGACCCGCGACGCGGCGACTGTCGTGCAGCAGTCCGCGTCGCGGGTCGCGAAATGCTGATCCTTACCTCTTAAGCCGAAAAACATAATCATTAATTTAGTATGTCTCACGAAAGTTATAACATAAATAAAGTACTTCAATACTTCAA